AAACGCTTTTACTGCATAATGTTGGCTAAAGTAGTGCAATTCTGACTTTTACAATCGCAGTTAGTTTCGTGTTGTGCTATAGGTGTTAAGAGGATAAATGAAACTTTAGAAGAATCGATTTGGGTGTGGGTGCCATTTCAAATCTTTCTACGGGCGAAACACATCCATAATAACAATGGGTGCATGATTTCTTAGCGAAAAAAACCTCCTGTACGTTACTCTGCTGTATGTAATGTTGAAAATGAGCACGCTTAGAAATAAAAAATATCAATGCAATATCAGCTCTGGCAGACTTGCGGTGTGGCTCTGCTTTTGCGCTTCACACACAAGGTACAATCTTAGTGATCCGATGATGAAAAGTATGCAATAAAGCCTTTCTAATCTCATTTTATTTTTTTCTATTCGATTCAACTCGATTTTTTTTGTGTGCATTTCGTGTTATTCTGGGTATTTTTTTTTAACTTTTCTACAGTTGGCGATGTTTTTCTCAGGACAAAGCACTTAAATTTGCTATTGTAACTCCCACGCTTACTTAAGTTTTGCGTCTGTTTAGTGATCAATAGGACAGTAGACAATAGAAATATGTGGTTAAATTTCGAGAGGAATCTGAGGTGGTGCCAGGGAATTTCGAAGCTTATGTATAAAATCCTCTCAGTCTTCGCTGCGTAAAATTTCATCCCGAATGACTTTTTTTCATGTTGGTTGAACAGAATGGGCGACATAGGCCTCTACTGATCTCTGTGAACCGTTAATTAGCTGACAAAACAAACAACTTTTAATAACTGTTTGGGAAATGTAAATTTTAATGATATCTTCTAGAAGTCTAGAAGGTAGGCGAGATTACTAAAAACTTCTATTTTCATATGAAGCGGGTCGGCGCACTATAACTAGTTGGGAGATCTAGATAGGCCTGCGATGTTTTACTGAGTATGAAGCACAATCAATTACGAATGGAGTACATATTTTGTGGTTGTTTTATTTGGCTTTTTGACGAATTTCTAACCCAGATGAGACGCTCTCTACGGTTCACGAAAACACACAGAAAATGAGCTAATTGTTTGTATGATAACATGGAATGCATGGGAACCTTTGCGAAAATGTAACTTTGAGAGAAGATACGTCGTGGTACACTAAGTTTATTTATCCATTCGTTTATTTATTTTTTTTAAGACTTGAAAATTCTTTAAAAAATAAACTGTCTCGCCTTAGGCTCGCTTAATTGGAAAGAAACTAAAGGAAGGGATTCTTCAGAAACGAAAAGATCGACATAGTTGGATTGCCATCAAGGAAGTGGAAAATTTCTATGTAAATGTGTTAGGATGTGCATTATATTACTGTTATCGTTGAAACCACAATTAACAAAAGATCACTGTCACTATCACTAGCGCAATCGCTGTCATTGGCTCCGTCGTTGTTAGTACTACATATTCATGAAACAGTATAATAAAAGTCCAAAAGATGCATCATCGTCATAGTCTTATTGCAAAGCCAAGGGAACCAGCATTGACATACATAGCAGTGACCGAGTAATAACCCAAACCCATAAACATCACTTGCTGGGGACTGTGAGTGAGTCCCTCTCAAAACTTCAGGAGCTATGTGTTTGTGATATTTCCTGTACTTTTCTTGATCTCCTAGAGACAGCTTGTATAATTTGCCTTTGCCTTTGCGTACTGAGCGAAATATACAAAAATCCGCTCCTCGTATCTTACAAAAGAGGACGGTCGCTCAAGGACATACTCGTGAGGGCCAAACTTTGAATAGGCTATTCTAAATACGCACTGGGGAGTCGTATAGGCCTGTCAATCCCATTTTACGTTGGAGCAAACACCAAAAAACACCTTCTCCAAGATAGCTTTCTTCGCCACTTTGACTTCTATCATCTGTCAAGTATTTCCGATTGATTTCCTTTGGACTACAGCAGATGCAGTGAATAGTAATCATTACTTATAATCTAGTTTAAGTAAACCAT